TAAATTTGATTTGAAAATACCTGTTGATACTTACAAATTTTGTGTTTTGATAATTGGTTTTTTTTATGAAATTTGTATTTTATTGCATATTTTTTTTTTTTCTTTTTTGTTTGAGATTTATGATTTGATTTTTTTATGTAAGAATTTGCATTTCGTTGCATTTGATTTTTTTATTTTAGTTTAGTTATATTTTTATTAAAATAAAATAAAGGTACGAATAGAGGTTGAAACCAGCCAAATAATCCTTAACCGGTTAATTAACCGATTAAATTTAACTCGGAATTTTCAAACGGAATCTATTTGGAAAAAGGGTCGGGAAAAAACAAAACTGTAACACATTTTGAATATTCATGAAAGTCATATGCGTTACCAAAATATCTATAACTGCACAAGCATGGTCTAAATGCACGTCCGGACGTGCGGTCTAAATTTTCTGTCGTTCACGTGACGTACGTGACGTTATTATCGACGCAACATCCTAAATTGTTTAGTCTGTTAAGAATGTTCGGTACTTGCTTGATTTAGTTTATTGATAGGTAAATGATAAGTGTTGTACAGAATGTGCATTGTCAGGACACGGACCCCACATTTGTATCACATGAAATTTGTCCAACGTACACATTCAAATGTCTATCCACCAGACATTAAAACCAAAATTTTATTTTTCATTATGTCGCTTCCTAATAATTAGGCTCGATTTATTGTTAAGTGTTTAAGTTGATTAATTTAACTAAAAAAAAAAAAATTTTGAAGAAGAAGCAGATAGCCGTAAAATAAATTTTATTTTTAAATAAAAAAGATCGTATATTTCAATATTTTAGAAATGTTTCAAATAAAGATTCTATATATAAGTAATAGTCCATAGAGAATATTCCTTCTAACCCTTTATATGAAGCTGTTAAAATTCCTTCGCTCATTTTTATTCATCAAGTAATATTTTTAATCCTGGCGCAGCAAAATAAAGCTTCGTGAAATTTGCTTGCGTCGTTATCAAAATGAAAACTTATAAAAAATTTCTTGTTTAAAAAAGTAAAGTCAGGTAAGTAATGTTTACACAAATAAAGAAGCATCGAACATTCTAAATGAATATGTTTCACATGTGAAACCGGTTACAATTCCAAAATCAAAAGCTATCAGATTCTTTTCCTTCAACAAGTACATTCTGTAATTGTCAATAAAATATCCAAGGCTCTACGAGTACAAAAAAAAAAGATTGGAGACTTGAGGAACCTTGTCCACTTGAGAAAAAAGTTTTTTTATTTTATTTCTTGTATATTCAAGCTACTTAATTTAGAAGTATTGTGCATTGTATTTTGCAATTTGTAATCGCAAATACCAACTAAATAAAAGAAGCGTAAATGAATTACTCTGAATGTAAATGTATTAATAATTTAAACCATCTGTGCACCAATTATATAATCCTTTATTTATGCAACTTTTGATCAAATTCATGTCATGTGAATTATTACTTTTTGATTACTTGTACAAAATTTTTTGTCTACTTAGATTGTCGATCTTTTTTGAAAAAGAAATCTTTTAGGGAGTTGGAAGAAGTTCTAGCTTTAATCGATCGATAATTTATTGTTTAAAGAATTAGATTAACATTTAGTTAAGCATTTCATCCATAAAAAAAACTTTTGGCGGAAGCTCGGGACGGGGCACTTTTTTAATCCATGACCCATCTGTGCAACGAAACCTTTCCAAAGTATGTTTATCACACGACGTTTTATTTAGTTTTCAATGTAGTGTACATCATTTGAATTTATTTTCTTTGAATAAGCTTCTTTGATTATCGAGATCAAAATAATCGTAATTATTGCATTAATTTTGATAATCAAGAATTGTTTAATCTTTGTTTGATGATGCGTAAAACTGATCCTTTGTTCGAGTAATTTATCTAAAATATTCAAATGATGAGATTATTTTTGATTATATTATTTTTATCAATGTGAGATTTTTGATCATATTTCTTGATAAAATTATCGCATTCAAAAAGAACAAGAAAGGTAAACATTTTTTTTTTTATAATTAGTTATAAAAAGATCAAAATTTGCTTTTTTTTTCTTCAGTTTTTGTCCACTCCAATCGAAAAAAAATAAAAAAAAAAGATTATGAAAATGAAATTCTTTATCGTCCTTCTTTTGTTACAGGTGCATCAATTTATTTCAAAACATTCTTTTAATGTTTCTTTTTACATAAAAATTTTTAACACTTCTTGATAAAATATTAGATTATTATGATCTCAGCTCAAGAACCTAAATTTCCTTTACATACTGTTAAGCTTCCCCCAAAAACCTTTTGGCTGAAATGTGCCAAATATCCAAAAATGGCGAGTGCGTATCTAACGTTTGTTACTTTCAATATATTACTAAGTAAAATTGATAAAATTTCTTTTATTAGGCTACGCTATACAATTAGCCAGTCCAAAGGCTGCTGTAGATCCATCAAGTTACGGTGGCGAATACTATAACTTAAAAGCCACTAAAGTAACAGCTCAAGAAAAGTATGGATTTATTGCTGTTGTTGCTAATGGTACATATTATGTTGTAGGATCGTTATGTGGAAATGTTAGTACTGATGAAATCACTGCTCTCTCAACGATTTGCGCGTGGCAAGGACCAATTAATTGGCCTGGAACATGGTGCTTGGCGATATTTAACGTTTTAAACTTTTCACAAAATGTCGATGTAGTTCTTTCGTTTACTCAAAGTGTATTTATTGATGGTACATATCGAAAAGATGATGAAGAGACAGTTCCCACCATAGGTCAAGATAATAACATTTTTTTTAATAATAATAACAAAAGGAGAAATATTAAGCGTAGTAACCCACTTCGCCTTAGTCGCAATTTTTAAATTAAAAAATTTAAAATTCAATTTTTTTATATTTTAACATTATTATTATATTTTCTTATTGAAGTAAATATTTTATTGTATTATATATTTCATTTTTAGCATTATTATTATATTTTCTTTTGAAATAAAGATATATTGTTTTATACGTTTCTACCTATCAAAAATATACCAATAGCATAAATTGTGACAAAAACGACAATGATATATACTTTTCAGGACTTTGTGTAATAACGTAGGTGCAATCAAATGTAATAAACGCTTTACCTGTTATTTAATACATTATTTTTACGATAAACAAATAATTTTTTGAATAAATATTTTATATATAAAAACATAATGGCATCATATATCCATAAATAAGGTCGACTAACACAGTGAACGTCACTCTTCTCAGCGTATGAAATATTGATTTCATTAATATATTTGAAGTCTAGTCACGTGACTAATGTCGCAAAATAGTTCACACACAACAAAAAAAAGTATCACATTTTATTGAGTAAACACAACTGGTTTTTGTAAAGCAAATCCAAGTGCAACTATGAAAATTACGAGATGACATATTATTAACCTGTTACTAAAATATTGATCGCGTATAATTTTGTTAAATAATAAGGCTTAACATGCAGCAATTAAATGTTGGATTTTTATTGTATTATTCTATCCAAACTAAATTTATTTTCAGACAATAAAGCTTTTTATTCATTTTTTCAAGTGTCGCGAGACTTTGCAGACATAACATTACCATTTCTCTATAAAAATAAGAAAGGGATTCGAAATATCGGAAAACGATTACTAGAATAATTATTTCATCAATACCTTCAAATCATTTATATTATTATTTTCCAAGTATCGTAATATAAAATTGAACGAAAACACTTTATACAATTATTTTTCATATTGCAAATATTTAACAATACATTCTATTGGACTAATGTCGGATGAAATAGTTAAAAACAATGCAAGTTTAGTGATATTGCTTTCTAAGTACGTTCATATCTTGTACTGAAACGACAAGGATATTTATATAATATGAATTTACGAAATTCTCTCTTAGTGACTGACGTTGCAATTCCATGATTGATGACGGTATGTTGAATCTATTTTTTTCAATGTGTTCATTTATGTTTAGTTTTTGCTTCAATGGACGGTTTTGAACTGCTCTAAAAGACATTGAAATATTTTAAAATGTGTTATATAGCGATGCGTTTCATAAAAAAATATTGTAAAAATTGTTCGGAAATCTTAAACGTATTTATAGGAATGATGAAAGTAAATGTTCAAAATTACAAGAGTATTTTCAAAATATAACTTTTTGCTGTAATCGTTAATGATCTGGTACATGAGTTGTGCTCTCTCTTTTCCGACTTCAAATCTTTATTAATATCATGCAAAAAATTAAAACTTTTAAAATCCAATTATAAAGGTTTAAATTAAATAATATAATATTCATAGAATTTATTTATTAATTTTGTTCAACTAGATTGAGTATAGGGAAAACCGGAACGATACGATTCGGCTGATCACGATCCAAGTACGTGATCAGACGAATCGTACTGATTTTCCTACGATCACTTGATTTTATTTTTATTAAGGTATATTTTTTTTTTTTTTTTTTTTTTGAAAAAAAAATTTTTTGAAAGAATAATATTTTGACGATCCCAATATAGAAACCCGGTATGGTACAATTATAAAGTACCGTACCGTACTGGTCCTATAAATAAATGCTTTCTATTATGACCAGTTACAGTACGGTACGGTACTTTATCCAAATATATGCGTCGTACCGTACTGGTTTCAATAATATTATAGAACCAGTACGGTACGATCGTGCATGATCATACCGTATCTCCTCCATATTATCGACTATATATTTTCACGGAATAGTTGATAGCAGTTTTTAGAAATAAAGAGCTAAGGTGCGAGGTCTCAAATCAATCATCGAGGATAGGAAAAAAAATTTACAAAATCAACGAACATAAATATTTTGAGTACAGACTAATTTATTTATGCGATTTAAAATTTCACAAGTAGTTTATTTTAGTGATCTTGTAGGTCTTAAAAATATATATTTGGATATCAGATGATGATAAATGAGCGCAAAATTCAATTGAAACTACAAATTGGACATTTACAGTATATATATATTTTTTTCTTCATTTGTTTATTATTTATTTGTTCGCTTATTTCGATAATCATTACTAGTATTATATTAATATAAATTGATATTTATTTTTTCAATGTGAACAATATTTCATTTTATTATAAAATGTTAATGCTACTGTTATTAATTCAATTGTTAATTCGTACCAAAGTGAATAAAATGACATTTTCAATTTTTATTTGAGAAATAAATAAAAATAATTTTTTATAGGAAGAAATTTCAATGTAAATTTAAAATTAATTTTAAAAGTTAAAAAAAAGTGATTTAAAAATTTTTATTTTCGTCTTGAATTTTGTTAGTTACTGAAATTTACCCTAAAGCATTAAAAAATAACTTTAATAAAATTTACATGTATTTTTGGAAAAAGTTTATTGTTTCAAATGAATTTTAATATTGATATTTGGCGAAAGAGATAGTTGATCTTAATTAAATATATTAGAATTTTAATCTGTGAAATACAAATCTTAATAAATAAGAAACAAAAACACAAAAAACAGCCAATACATACATGTAGAAAAAGCCGCCCTTCCATATCATTCATCAGGATCCCTAATACATTGAGTTGAAAATTAACATTCAGTAGTAATCTAATTTACATTAAAATTACAAAAAAAAAATCTCATTTCAACCTACATGCATTCACCTGGAAAACCAAACCTTCCACATTGAGAACCTGAAATGCCACAGTATTGACCTGGACGACAATGTTTGTCTTCGTAACAACACCCTGAAGATGATACAATAGCAAGAGTTGTTAAGAGGAACAAGAGTAACAAAAAGTTTGATTTCATTTTGATTGTCACTTTTTTATATAGTGGAAATTTTTTTTATTTTTAAACCGTGTGGAGTCGAGCGTATTTTATACTGTTAATTGGTATAGGACGGCTTAATGCTTTGTGAGGCTTTAAGCTTTAAGCCAATCCAAGCCTTAAACCAAGCCAAGCCAAGCCAATAGTTTGTACGGATTTATATCCAGACTTTTTTTGCGAATATTCAAACGAGGCTTGAGTAAAATCTAGTGATTGAATTTTTACGAAATGAACATGATTACAAAATTGTGTCTTGATTATAATTATATAAAATTTGTGGCGTCAATCAAAATCTCGAAAAAAAATGAACGCAATTTTCTTCGATTTTTGATATAGAAATTTCTGTATCGGCAAATTTTGATCGACATTGTTTTCTTAGTTTTCTTAAGTAACTGACAATTAATTTTGTAACAAATAACGATAAGGGATTTTAAAATTCATGATTTATCAATTTCATTATCGTTATATTTTGAAAATATTCGTCGTTTGTTTCTTTGTAAGTTCACAATTTTCAATAAAAAAAAAAGATTCACACAATAATTACTTGCAATCAATAACTTAATAATTTTTTTTATTCATTTATAAGTATATGTACAGATTTTATTGTACATCTTTTTAAGCCATTCTAGATAATCATTGCTTGCTTCATCAACCTTTAAAATTTATGAAATATTCATCAGAATGATTAAATTTTTTTGTGTAGATACCTGGGATAAATATGATTTTATACGCTGCTAATTTCGAAAATTATTTACGTCGAAATTAAGCGCAGTATTGCGGCGATTGTCCTATCAATGATATTTTGCTTAGCTTCTTTATCAAATATGAAGATGCATTTTTTTTTCGTGTTTGATTATTTCATTTACTATTTTTGATATTATAAATGCGTAATATATTATTTAGCATATACATGCTGTAATTTACTAAAAAGAATGTATTATACAGTACGCTTGTAATAAGTCTTGGTGATAGACTTTATGGGCTCTAATATTACATAAAATACTATATCACAAGTTTATACCTTACTCTTGTCCCCATATAGACTCCGATTGTAATATCCAACTACACAACTGAATGGTGTTAGTAATAATACTCCAAACAATTACTGTAACAATTTTTATTTGTGATCTACAAACTACTGATGATCTACTAGTT